TTTTTTACCAACTTTGCGTGTCGTCGATCTGCAGCTGCTTCGGTACGATGCGTCGAGTAATTTATTTTTGCATCTAAATATAGTCGCCGCGACAGCGCCATGTGATTTGCATAAACATACTGGATTTTCCTCGTGTAACACATCGCTGAAACGTGTGTGTGTGTGTGTGTGTGTGTGTGTGTGTGTGTATGTGCTATTATAATATTAATATTATATATTATTTTATTTAATAATAAATTAAAATTTATTTAATAATTTGTTCAAATTTCTCGTTGAATTTTTAGCAATTTATTTCGAAAAAAAATTAAAGAAATAACTAGATTCCTAAACACATTCAATAATGCCTTTTTACAATGTAAATTTAATATTATAATATTCGATCTCTTTAAAACTTGGCGTTAATCTTTTAGGACCAGTTCATAGATTACGACATGTGACATAATTTTGTGTGTAACACGCATTTGGAGATTCTAGAGTGCCAAGGTACAGAAGTTTTTAATTTGTCGCTACCAAGATTAACATATGTAGCACTTTTAAAATGAGATTTTTTATTTCTTATAATTAATCTGAGAATTTTTATTATAATAATTGGAATTTTTAGAATAAGTCAAATTATAAATATTATATTTTGATCTTGGATTCAAATTTTGTCAATAAGATTGTGAAAATCATTTTAAATCTTCCTTCTTGTAATATTTTAACAACATAGAACGGTTGTGAAGAAATACTATAATACCTCGGATTCGCTATAGTTCGCTTTAGTAATATTAATAAGACCATATTAGATAATCTACTCGTATATAATAAAATTCATGTCCGATTTCACAAATAAAATATTTATAATTAAATGTATCTATTTATAATTGTATTATATATTTTGACATTTGTATATGTATTTCTGATTATTTTTTGCAGATGGTACTTGTGAATTAAATTCGTTCTATTTTGTTTTTATTTCTAATTTATTAATGCATTTTTATGTATGTGTGTGTTCTAGTTCCAATGTTTTTCATATTATGTAAAGTTACAAACGAAATGCTATCCTTTTTTTTTTTACTAACGCGAATTATGGATCAGCCAAAGTGGGCTTGACTTAACGTTGTGCAGACCTGCTGACGTATCGGCGATCGTCGAAACAAAAGTAGATTTGCGCACGAGGCGGACCGACGATAAGAAGCTCCAGCCGCGGTTGTTGTCGCTGAGATGCTGGGATCCGGTGATGCCCGGTTATCGTTTGAAAAACATTGGCTGGACCACCGCGGTCAACGCGTTCGCTGATAAACTCTCGGTCATAATGCGAGCTTTCATGCCCATGCGAGAGCTCGCAGAGATCACCGAGTACCGGTTATATCCGGCATGCCGATAACTCGACCCCGTTAAAGCGGTTTTCGCACCGCTTTTTTTTCCTCCGTCGTCGTCGTCGTCGTCGTCGTCGTCGGATTTCTTCTGTCGACTTCTTCTCACTGTTTCGAGGCGATCGCCGGTCAATGTGCAAATAACTGCTCGCTCGTTCTCTCGACATGCCTCAGCATCCTGTATCATCAGGCTTATCGCGGCTCCGCGAACGTTTACGATTGCAGCATTATAATTTAATGAGAGAATTCGATAATTGACGATATTATAATTTACAATTTACTCTGTGAATTCTATCTTAATTGTATCTCGCAATTTACATAAGATGTGATTTGCATGATGATGTATTCCAATTGAATTTAATAAATCGTGTAATACGTCGAAAGGAAAAAATTGTTTGTAAACAGCTCCATTTTTTAAATTTGTAATTTTTTGTACGCATAGCTTATTCAGTTATATCCGACTTTGCTGTCGTTCTATCTTTTTAGTCTTAATTAAGATAATACAAATGGGACAGATTTAATACTCGTATCTTTTACCGAGATTAAAGGCTTTTCAGTCCTTAGTTTAGATAATACAAACGAGAGTCACAGTAATAAGCAGAGAATTAATATTTTAGAATAGTTAATTTTTAAACAAACATTGTGCCGTAGTTCTGAATCAAAATTACATATTTCATTATTTAAATTATAATTGCAAATATTTATCCGTATTTATGATATCACATCAGACTTTGTAACTGAAATAATGATAATCCGCGCTGACGAAGATTAGCGAGGAAGATAACTGAATAACGTTTTATATTTTTGCATATACATGTGATAAGGACAGGCTGGTTTATTTCGCGGAAGGAGTGCAAGCAGTTACGTCAGAGAAAATTATGTTTTATTTATTAGCTATAGGAATAGAGGTCTTTTATTAACCAATTACGTGCGCTTATCACGACTTTACTTCCTCGATGATCTTTAACTGTATATAATATATATATAACGTATAGCATATGTTCTAAACTAAATAATGTCGTAAACGACTTTCTTCTGATAATGATAGTTTATTCTTCATTTTACATCTTATTTTAGTAAATATTTAATTTAACGAACAATTTTAATGAATGATGGAGATAAGAGAATATATAAACCACTAAATAAATCACTATAAATAAACCACAACTTTTATAAAATTAAATAAAGATTAAATTGGATCTTTTTACCGAAAAATTCTATAACGGATCTTTCTTAGTGGACTTTGGATGCTCGATAGATAGCAAACGTGAGAAACATATCACGTGACATTCGAAAGCAAATATAAGGACTGGTTCATAAGGAGTATATTATACTTTTACAAGGTATAAGGTAGTGAATAAATCCTATAGAGTAATGCAATTAAATCCGTCTTATCACGTCATTCATGACTTTCCAATAAATTTTAATAATTTCGTTTTGCTTGAAAGTCTCGTTAATGTTAATGATTTCTTCTTAATATTTAATCAGAGAATACATTATACTATATATTAATATAGAAAGCTAATAATTATTTTTAATATTGCTGTCGATATTTTATCATTTTTAGTGTGCAGTTATATTTACATTGCATTTTTTGAATATTTCAATATAATAATAGAAGAATAATATGTGTAGTATTTTTTTAAGAAGTAGTCACGTTTATGACATATTATTTCATGTAAGCATTAATATTGATGACCAATATACAAAATAGAACGTGATTAAATTAGTTGAAGTATCAGTCTACAATTTACATAATTAAAGTGGTGATTAATTATGTAGACTGATACTTTAGATGATCTCTATATAACTCTATTTTATCCTACACATATATTTATACATACATTATACATTTAAATTATTTTACCTTGTTTTTTATATTTTGGAGACTTTTTTGAAGAATGAATGTATGTACGTTGATAAAATAAAGATATAATTTTTATTAACATTAGCTATGAGTCCTTTTGTTAAATGTAATATATGTTGATATACTAGTAAAAGTAATAAGTAACAACTGCAATCACGGGGACAAATGTATTCGGATGTGTTAAGATTAATTAATTTAATTAATGTGTTTACGCGCGCGCAGATTTATGTAATAAGTTATATTTGTGTACATGCAAGAATATAATTTGCAACCTAAATTACATTGAATGCGTATGAAGCTCTTTTAACTGATTAACTAATCATCTGCTCCAATAAATTTGAAAATTACCCTCCTTCTTGATATGTGATTCGGTGAATAAGCTAAAATGAAATTTAACAAATAATTTATATTAACATGTTATAAAAATAAATCATAAAATATAAGGAATAATTAACATGAGCGAAAGTATATTCTTACGTATGTATTATAATAGTTTTTTTAACCATGTCAAAAATTTTATTAAAGTTAACTATATCTTTCATAAAATATCTTGTTAAACTTAATGAAATATTTCTGTAAAGAATAGGTTTTATATCATAAAAATGTGTAAATAGAAGAGTAATTAAATTAACAAAGTTAATGATTAAAGAAGAATAGTGTTTTTTTTTTTAGCGCATTCATTAATATTACATCAAAGTACGCGTAGTAAAATATCATGTTAATTGAATTTGAAATCCTTCCTAGAAATGTCTTTCGTAAATATTTGCAAATATTATTCGCGCTGGCTTGCATACGATGACACGAGCGGCAGAAAGGTAACCAATAAAGACTCGCGTGAAAATCCATGGAACTGGATTTCCCCGAAGAGAAATTCGAAGGAGAGTCGAACGACGTAATCGGGTACGATGGTGCGCGATGTACAGGGGACTCGCAGTAGTCGAAGTCAGAAACAGCAAGACCCCTGGGTCGTTCCGATGGACGGTGTGACGCGATGCGGCGAGGCAGAGACGCGTGTCGCCTCACGTGTTGGGCGTAATACATCGCGTTTCCGACACGTGATGCCTCCTCATCGCTGTCGACGCGGTGCGGCGCGGCGCGGCCCGACCCGATGTGATGTCTCCCTCCCGATGGCTGAAGAAACGCGAGTGTCGTCGCTCGCAGCTCGTAGTCGTCGGTGCGCCTGCGATTCGCGAGCATGAACAGCAACTGTTCGATAACGAGAGCGAGTGGCATCGCCCGTCCTAAGTGCTAAGTGGTCGGCTAATCTCTTGCTGAGTTTTGATAACCGCGATAGTGCTTGGAGCAATCTCTCGGTACTCGCAAAAATATAATATATTATATGTTTTTAAATAAACAAAAAGAAAGAAACGGAAAGACAATTAAACGTATTGCAATATTTACTGAACTGAACCTAGTATTAATTGAAAGAATAATACTCTTGCGCTGTCTGTGTGTAGTAATACATAATTGACAGTCGAGGGATGCAAGTTATATATAAAATGTAAAATCGAACATTTTTCCTCGACGAGAAATCCATTTCGATTGAATTGCATATGGAACAGCTATTGCTATACAAATTTTAAAAGTGTCCCACAGCATATAGTTACTCCATATAGTGCAAACCGTTTATGGGAACTGACTGAAAAAAGTATTATTCGAAAACGAATTTTCTTCACGAGAAAATCGTTTCGAGAGTGAATTTCACCAGCGTGATATACTTCGATATTTATCGATATAGACGTTTATTTTCGAATGGCACAAACACGTGTATCGCACGTATCGCAAGTATTTAAACAGAAACATTGAGGGTGACAGTGATTTTTAAGCGGATCGATTTTCCGGTTTTCGAAGACTTCGCGGAAGATAAGAGAAGGTGTCTTTCCCCTTCTATATTTTGCTATTCAAAGCAGAATGGTCACGCACAGTATGGATAACATCCTGAACATGCAGTACTATCCGACGAACAGCCGCGTTGACGCATCGGTGCATTCACCGCCACCGAGGAAGAGGCGTTGTTTGAATAAAGAGGTGAATACGCATCCGCCAATCTAATTGGATGAAATCGATATCTTGTTTCTTTCCGCTCGGAGGAAAGACGGATAAACTGCAGTTTCGATTATGACCATAAAATATTGGAACACATTTGTCTACCTAACTTGAACTACTTTTTGCTATCTATTTTCTTTCATTAGTAACATTTAATTACTTCCGCATTACTCGTGGATTTATTGACGTAATTACTCGCTTGGGATATTTCTGACATCTCGATATTAGTGTATTTAAATGTTTATTATTCTCTTTGATGATTTAAACATGAACAAATATTGATAATATTCTACATCTTCCATCTATTCCTTCTCATTAATAACATTTAATTAACTGTATATTACTCACGTGGTCTTTTAACGTAATTATTCGCGCGTTTCTGACCTTTAATTTTCATTGTTTTCTTTGATGGTTTACAATGAAAGATTCATAATATTTTATACAACCTTTAAATAGAGTTAAGTGTTTATCATCCATCGGAATCTCTCTCTAACCTGGGATATTTTTTTACCTATTCCTTTATCAGTAACATTTAACTAATCTTGTTCGCGTGTGGTTTTCTTTTTAATGTATAAGTTACTTACTCGCGTGGAGTGCTTCTGACACCTCAATATTATATTTTAATTTTCATTGTTTTCTCTCTTTCTCTCTCTCTCTCTCTCTTTCCGATAATTTACAATTAAATAAAAATTGATAATATTTTATACAACTTTTAGATAAAGTTTTTGCAAAATTTTTTTATCGTAAAACAATTTATCTTAAATACAAAATAATATGTATATAAATTCATATTTAGTGAATTTATAAAGTAGGGGTGCCACTGAACGCGAGTAATGAAGGGTTAGCTATACGTGATTTTTGGAAAGGATTAGAGCGTCCGAATAATATAAATTTACATTCGAAAAGAAGTTTGTTTTAAGTTGGCCAAAATTTCGGCCACTCCAAATATGATCTTCGAAGTAAAGTCACTATTTCATCCCTTCATCCTGTGTGATTTATGATCTTTAGGGTCCTCTCTGCGCCGCATATTCCGTTCCCGTTCTTGACGGGATGCACCGATTTATGCGCCGATCGCTTGCGTAATTTCGCATGAATGAGTTCCATGGAAAACGTCATGTTGGCCGCGTGCCAGGAACGAGCGTTATGTTACCGTGGTTTGAACGCTACATGCTCGTAAATCAGCAAGTATCGAAGCGTCATTGTGACGTCGCTTTTGTTCGTTTGCTGTTTCAATCGAATAATTACGGAGCAGACCGCTCATTCCATTCTCTTGTAAAAATTTGTTTTGAAATGAATTTAACAGGCATTCGTTCGAAGGTTTGCATCGATTATCTTGACGAGAGCAAATTGTGGTTATCTGGAAGAATAAGGCATGTTTGTTTTCAAAGCAGACGTTCGCGTAAGAATGTAGTTATGTAAGTTCCGATTGTGACTTGGTACGATATTATATATATATATGCAGATAATTATAATACATCTCAAAATAAAATATATTTAAAAAATGATATCAATTGTTATTATATTATATTTAAAATAATATTATTATATTCAAAAAATTAAACAATTTAGAAAGATTCTATTGTTTTCAAAATAAACAAGTACGAAATCGGTTAAAATATTGTAAGATTGTAAAATAAATCGCAATTATCTAAAGATTTCGATCGTAACTGCAATTGTTCATTCACTCATAGCGTTACAGGATATGCGTTTGTCTCAATTCATTTAAAGAGCTTGTTATTGAACATAATTATCAGGAATTGCTCTCATATGTATCAGCCGTAATTTTGTCGTGAAACGTGAGACTTCTGCATTACATCATATTGCTTCGTGCCTCATCGCCGACGTTATCTTTCCGCATATTCGCGCGATAGACGAACTTTTCGGCGAATTAAGCGGTTACCTAACTAACCGCGATACGTACCTCGAGAGATCGTGACACGTGGCACGTATAGATAATTGCGCTCCAGTAGCCAATCGCGACGTGACCTTTAAAGATGATAACGTGTTTTAATTTGCGCGCGATAGCGTAATTACAATCTCTCTCGTTCGCAACGCAAATGCCGCTTTAAGATATCCATGGGAGTTCATGGGTGACCAGTAAATATTGCTCACTCAATGTGAGATCATATTTTGGAGTCGTAATTTACTCTTTAAGTGCAACAACAAAACTGCGTAAAAAACGGTTCTGTTTATGGAGGTCGGTATTTTAATTGTCCCCGATTAATGCGAGATATTGTAAAAGCGTCTCACGTCTGACCACATATTGACCGTAACTACTACAAACGAATAATTAAATGTATCGACTTGCGTGAGTCATTTTTAAAGAAAGTACTCTTAGCACACGTATGTTGGCATACCAGTTCTTTCAAAACTTTGTGAAGTATTTATATCGATTGTTTTAAACGTATTTAAATTACTAAGAAATCAGTAATATTATACTTTACTATTTGTTAACCTGAGAAATAATTATTTTATATTTTCAATGTCTTTGTTCATAAATATTAATAAAATTTCTTTTCGTATAATAATAAATTATTACATTATTATATAGTTTTCTTTCTAGCGATAGTAATAATATAAATAACAAATTAATAGAAAAGAAATAAGGGACTCGTTATATAAAAATAAACAATATGATGTCAAGGGCGATATAAGAGTCAAAAAGATTTTTGTTTAACTATAAAATATATAATTAGTCACTATTTTCAATAATTAATTTAAACATTACTTAACGATAATTCGCCTTCAAACAAATAACTATGATAATAAATAAATATAAATATAATAATATAAAGTTATATCGTATATGTGATTATCAGTAGATTATATTATCATGATAAAGTTCTAAAATATTTTAAAACATCGATGGGCGACTCTAAGTCTATTATTAAGTTGTTCGGATTGATCGGATTGATAATTGGATCGTATTCGTTTTTATTGCAGCAAGATCCGATGTCACACAGGATCATCGAGAAGCGTAGGAGAGATCGTATGAACAACTGCCTGGCCGATCTCAGCAGACTTATACCGGCAGAATACTTGAAGAAGGGTCGGGGCAGAGTCGAGAAGACAGAAATCATCGAGATGGCGATCCGCCACATGAAGCATCTTCAAGGCCTCGGTCGGCAAGGTGAGCATTTCAATCCGATCGCGATTCTCCCAAACGAAATTATTTCAGGAACGAGAATATATTATGTAATACCGCGCATTGTATTTTCGCGAGTTGGCAATAAGGTCTGCCAATGTCATTTCACGAACAGACCACAGATTGCAAATTAAGAATAAGAAATATGCGTTCTGTCGATACTGTATCTTGAAAGCGACAGACATATACTGCTAAATTCATAATTTCATAAAAATTGTATTCAGTTTGAATTATTTTTAATAATTTCTCTAGGTAGTCACTGTTCCAATTCAGTATGTTAAGTAAAGATGGAGAGTAATGGAGTTAAATAATTTAGCCCTTTGTACTTATTAATTTTGTTTTAAATAATTTAACTTAAGAAATGTATTGATTCAATTAATTTTTTACTAAATATGTTAATATGGAAGTTGTTTATTTTGAACTTTATTTTAAACAATTCAATCACAGAAATGGATTGATTTTGGCACGTCACATGTCGAAGTTAAAAATAATAAAATGTTATATTTAACTCAAGGGATTGGGTTTTGTTCTTTTGATACTAACAGTGTATACCTAAGTCATACTTACGCCATCACTCGGAATTGACAATGTTTTAGATACCAAGCACTCACCTGTCACGCCAGTGCACACACATCCTGAGGACAGCGTGGACAGCGTGTCCCACTCAACCGCGGCTTCCACCGCTGCGGAGCATTATAAGCTAGGATTTCAGGAGTGTTTGAGCGAAACCATGCATTTCCTCATCGAGGTCGAGGGTTTTTTCGCGAGGGATACCCTCTTTGTACAGCTCATTAATCATTTGCAGCAGCACTGCGACAAAATCGTAGCCACCAGTACGTACCATTTGACTTTTTGAAGACGTAAGCAGCGTAACGATCTTTATTTGGAGAACAGTATACACTTAATGTTTTCTATATATCTTGAAGATCATGAATTCTTAATATTTGATCAAATTAATATTTTCAAAATGTTGATACAATCGAGATAGAATTATAATTATTTCCTGATGAGATATAGAATATATATACTGAGAGAAAAGTGTTTGATATATTATTTGTGATTAATTTTAATTGAATGTAAAATACTTATGAATAGGTATAATAAAATAATTATAGTATGCATATAACTACTCAAATTTCATAATAGAATAATAATTATCAGTACGTATATTTGATATTTGTGTATTGAGAAAAAAGTTTGATATTTGTGATTACAATTACATGATAAAATAATTATGAACTCTATTTTTATAATTATTACTGCTACAATGTTTATAATAAGTATGTTTATAGGTCTATAAAAATATTCATATATAATTGGTACCAAAAATTACTATAAATTATAGTTAAATTATGATAATTGCAACCATTTTTTTTCTCTCAGTGTGCTTTAAAAGGAGATTCGGCAGTTAATCATTGAAATTTGCTCTAGGTGATCGATTAGGCTTCCCACACCCCGAGTTGCCAGTGATGAATGGTGTGATAAACGGCGCCAGCTATTCGCACACGAGTATTCCGACGATATGCCAGCCCAATGGTGGCCACTCGGACCATGGCTCGAGCTCGGGTGTGAGCTCGTTCGGCGACCCAGAGCGCCCGCTGTTGCGACCGGCGATTGTGCCACCACCGACGATTGTAAGTGATGACAGCAATCACAGCACCCACTCGCATAGTACGCCGCCTGGATCCGGAACCGTCTCCTGTCGAGACCGGCCGACCAACTACAAGTTCAAGAGTTCGATCAAGCAGAGGTTCTCGGCGGAGAGGGTGAAATCGTGTTCGCCGCCAGTGTCGAATGGTATCGGGCTAGATAAGCCACCATCCTCATTGTCTCACGGGGTGCCAATCTTCGCTCTGCACGACGCTGGATCCTTCTACGTGCCACTGACAGTTGAGGCGTCTTTGATCAGACCTCACCTGAGCTTCATTCCGGACACCGGACCCGACACCGTTTTACATCCGGTTACGATATCGGTTAATTTCAATCACTCGTCGCCGCCAACGTGGTCGCAACACCACAGTCCCATTCACCAGCATCAGACATAAAAGAGAGGCGAAAACAATTAAAATGAATAATTCGTCATCCAATTGCTTGTATCCATTATGAGCGAGAAAGATGTATTTTGTGTCATCATTTTCCGATTACCATCAGTAGACTGATCTTTGAATCAGTGAGCTAATACATGAATGTAAGAATCTTGCGAATTCTTCAATAATATCGTTAGACATTGCGATGGGAATCGGGAGCGATGATTAAAGCTGTCCACGTGGCGCTCACGAGAATCAAGAACAGTTTGTGATCCTCCTATTTTATTGATCGCAATACGCGGTGGACGGCATGAAGTGGGTTTGGTGATAATTGATCGAACAACAATTTGTCGAACGGACAATTCATCGAAATAAAATTGATCGAAAAGATAATTAGTCGAAAGTATAATTCATCGAAAGGATAATTGATCGAATGGACAATTGATCCAAAGGACAATTGTTCGAAAGTATAATTGGTCAAAAGAGGATGACTAATCGAAAAGACAATTGTCGAAATTCATGTACATCGGTATGATTATAGAAGTCGTATGTCTTTTAACAAAAAACCGTATAAAAACTAACCTAATTTTGTTGGGATGGTTTTGATCAATTGTCCTTTCGACCAATTGTCTTTTCGATTAGTCATCCTTTCGACCAATTGTCTTTTCGATTAGTCATCCTTTCGACCGATTATACTTTCAAACAATTGTTCTTTCGATCAAGTCTCCATTCCATCAATTATCCTTTCGATGAATTATACTTTCGACTAATTATTTTTTCGATCAATTTTCTTTCGATAAATTGTTCGTTCGATAAATTAGTTTTCAACGAATTGTTTTCGATCATAAAGTGGCCTATATACGATACAATTGATTGATATAATTAGTATCAGCGCGTTAAATCTCAATAGATAAAATAAATTCTGATCATGTAATTGTAAATCTCTTATTATTACTCATATCTTCAAATATATTTGTGATAATAATTAAATATCGTGTATAGGCCGCTTTTCGGATGTATGCATAGAAGATACCGAGGATGTTTGTACATTTACTGAGGCTGTGGGTTGCTTTAGCATTTACGAGGTTCGAGAAAGGGTTGTACATAGGTAGAGTATTAAGGATAGGAAGCTCCAAGTCGTACTGGCTTCGGTGTGTCTTTCTTCGTCGTTAATCTGTATAATTCAGACATTCGTTTTCCTTCTTCCTTTTCCCTAACGGACATTTCATCTCGTTCCCGTTTTGACTTCGTCTATTCTCCTTCCTCGATACTTATTTTCTATCCGATGAATTTTCGTGCTGCTATTTCCTTAGTAAAAAATTAGTATGCATATTGATGAATCTACGGATCGTTTATCAATTAAATATTGAACATGTTGAGTATTCAGTGGAAGAGCACGTTGTGTCTCAATACAAAGCAGGGATCTGGAAACAATTTCGTTTCTTGTATATTTTCTAGTAAAATCATAGACATGAAAAGGACAAAAGATCATAGATGTACCAATAAATTGTTCGTGTCGCTTGAAATTCTCAAACATTTTTGCATTTATGAGATAAATACATATTCAAGCGTTGGGGAGAGAGAAAGCAAAGATTCTGAATGCAAAAATGCAAGTAACACAAACGAACCTTATTATGTCTATGAAAATGATTTCTTTCTGTTAGGTTAACGCAACAAACGCATGACAATAGACAAACGTTACTACCTAACAGAATTGATTCACGCGGGAGCGAAGAAATCTTGCTTCAAGATCCCGATAGATAAATACAGTCTTAGCCATAAGTATAAAGCGCCCTCAATTTATTATATTTTCTTGGAAAAGATGGTAAGAAAAATAAAAAAAAATAAAAAATTAAGGAAATATTAAAATTGTTAGAAAAATATTTTTCGATAAAAAACTGTTTTTTAATTAATCTTTTATTAGATATAAAACATTTGCATCAATTTGTGGAAGTGCTTTATATTTTTGGCCAAGATAAGCGGATGGTTTTCCGTATTTGCGATGTAAGTTAGAATAAAAATGCTTACATATACATACATATATCACATATAGAAATATGTATATGTATGTATATATCGATTCATGAATTCCACTTATGTGATTTCTCGATTATGTACGAAGAAAGTGTTTTGTTTCTCTTTTTTCTGCGAAAATATAATCCTGTGTCATGTTCGATCACGAGAGGATTGAGTCTGCTCGACGTCCCGTCAAAAACGGGCCTCAGCAATTAAAGACTGACCAAGACCTGCATTACACTAAAAACTCTTGTAAGATCACTGCATTAAATATATTTGTACATACCACGTCTAGCTGTAACTTTAACAAAGAGAGGAGAAGAAATTTATGCGGAATAAATTATATTTACCTTAGAAATACCCGCCCCTCTTCTTTTACGTCAACCATTCGTCTTACGTCACGTCTACCTACGCAATCTTTTCGCCTATATACATATTTAGATCAGCCAGACATGTAGAAAAGAAGATATTCTACTTCTCATAATTCCAACTACGCAGTCGCGGTCTAATAATAATTGTTTTCCATCAATCGCGGAATTATACAAGAGGATACGTACGTAATAATCAAGGAGAAAGTAAAGAGACTTGCAGATGCAATTAAAGATTTTTTTTATTACATCAACGTAATACTGGCTAAGGGTCAAAACAATGTCATAGAACGCGTCTATGGTCAGCGGGAGGGACAGCGCCGAGATCAACATGAGCGACTCGCGACGGATGTCTCGTCCTCTTTAAGGAGACGAGATCGTTCTCCCTCCACGAGAGGGGGAGGCAGCCGGCGACTCGCCGACGACAAGAGAGGGAGCATAGTCTAATGATCCCTATATATAACTACAGATAAATATCTTATAAGTATATAATAAAACTAATCGTACAGAGAGCGAGGCAACCAAGTCTCGGAACAAATCAGCCTTAATGAACCCTTCGAAAAGAATCGAGAGAAGTCTTGCTGGGTATGCGAGCCAGCGGCGCTCGCCTCGACGTCGCCGATTACGGCGCGGTTAAGCACTCGTCGTTGCTCCATCTCTCGTAGAAACGGGACATCCGACGAGAAAAAAGGCAATGCACCCGCTGTCTCGCTCCTTCCTCTCTCGCGAGAGCAGGGGAGAGGATCCCGAGCGCGGCTGTCTCCGCAACACCCCTGGTGGTTGTTGCTGATGCTCGGTGGTTGTATCAATTGAAAAACCTAACTACACAGAGTCCAAGGGAACTGAGTACCTGGTAAATACCGGACACATATCGTCAATATCGAGTAATTAAGATAAACGCGGTAAGACGCGGGGCAACGCTCCTCCTAGCATATGTGAGGTGTGCGCGGGGCATGGGTGAACTGAATGTGCAGGTTCGGATAGATGCGCGGGTTCAACACTACCGGATAATGTAACGGGGGTAAGCACAACATCTTATGACTTTTGGTATTAGTCGACGAGTACGAGTCGAACGGGGCAGCCACCGCGGCGGCATACTGCATCCTGACGGTGGGTCCTTGCTGCACGGGGACGCCTGCTGCCACAGGGCATCTTCCGGCGGACTGCGAGCTTCCGAGGAAGCTTGATGGTTACTTTTTCTTCTGGGCTTTCTCCGCGGCCTTTGTTACCTTGCCCTGGGTATCTTTGAAAGTGACGCTCTGCGGAAAAAATATACGATCGTTCTGTATTTTGCGTCTTTATTTAATTAATATATTTTATGTCTTGTGACTTCCTTATACATTTTAAATGCTTAACTGACTCTTTTATGTGCCCTTTTCAATCTATTATTGTTTTTAAAAAAACATACGAATTGTTAAATTACATATATACATAATGACTGTATGATGTATTCTTTAGAACAATCAGTGTTCTGTAGATGGTAATTCGAGAAAATGAAAATTTAATATTATCTTTAAAATAATATTGTTTTTCACGGTTGAAATTATTACGAGATAAACAAAATACAGATGTCAACAAGAAGCAAAACTAGTTTTCATGAATTTAATGAAAATTTTACACAAATATTTACACAAATATACTACAATTACGAATATTACTACACAAATGTAAAATTATGAAAAACAATATTGTTACGACAATTTGCATAAAGTAAATGTTTTTCGTACGAGCCTGGACAGTTACCAAACGCAAGTTTGAAATAAATAAACTGTAGACAAACAGTGAAAGAGACAGAGAGGGAGGGAGGGAGGGAGGGAGGGAGAGGGAAGGCAGGGGGACAGATTTTTTTTGCAAAAATTTCAATAAGTTATGATGGACTTCACTTTAGATACTTATTTAATAAAGACTAAGCAGTTTGTCAAGTAAAAGAAATAGGTTTTTTCGCTGTCGATTCCCTTATTCCGCACGATATGATAAGAAAGTTTCAGTGAAAAGATATTCCACTACGACAAAAATCAAAAATAGATTAGATCCCAAGGTAACTGAATAATGCCAATCTTTTAAAGAACGGAAATTCATACAATAAGAAGATGCTGATATAAAATTTGAAATCTTTCTCAACTCGCTTTTATCTTATAATCTTTGGAAATAATTCTTCGTACCTTAATGACACCCACGGCGACGGTTTGACGCATGTCGCGGACCGCGAAGCGGCCCAAGGGCGGAAACTCCTGGAAGGACTCGACGCACATCGGTTTGGTCGGCTGTAACATTACGATTGCAGCGTCGCCGCTTTTTATACTCTTTGGGTTCTCTTCCGTGGTCTTGCCGGTACGACGGTCGCACTTCTCCTTGATTTCAGCAAACTTGCAGGCAATGTGAGCAGTGTGGCAGTCGAGCACTGGCGTGTAGCCATTGCTGATCTGTCCCGGGTGATTGAGGACGATTACTTGGGCGGTGAAGTCGGCGGCACCGCGCGGCGGCTGATTCTTGGAATCGCCAGCGACGTAACCGCGTCTCAATTCCTTCACGGAAATGTTCTTCACGTTGAAGCCAACATTGTCACCGGGCAGGGCTTCCGTTAATGCCTCATGATGCATCTCGACGGATTTCACCTCGGTGGTGAGTGCCGCCGGCGCGAAAGTTACCAACATACCTTAAAATTGTTAATTTATATTTACTTTTAGAATTTATATGTTATATCCGATAAATGTCACAATAAAGATAATTAACTCAGTAACTCTCCGATGTTAGACTTCAAAGTTACAGTTTATTTTTTTATACTGTGAAATCTAAGGATAGATAAATTTAAATCTGTAAAATAATAAGGACTTGTTCAGATTTTTATACTGGGACAACGTAAAAATCTACACTGAAAGCTCAGATTGCGGACGAAAGGTGAAAATTTCAATTGTCGATGGAGGGTTAAATGAATAACTATCATTGTTTAAAACAATTATAAGTGTTAAACGTGATATTAGATGCGTGGATTTGTTCAAGAACGATTAATTTCGAAGATTTCAGGTGTGATTTTGACCCATGTATAAAAATTCTCGTTTTTTTTTACAAGGTTAATTAGAGAGTTGAAGTTTAGATTTGTGAATACA